AGTTTATAGTTCGTTTTACGGCAGACATTTTGTATGTATACATGTTTGTAGTTCGTTTTAAGGCAGACATTTTGTATGTATACATGTTTAAATCCGTTTCACGGCAGACATTTTGTACGTATACATGTTTATAGTTTGTTTTACAAATGTTGCACGTTCGTTGCTAGTTAATTTTAGAGGTGATTGATACGTTTTAATATGTCTAAACGAGATTATTTGTTTTATAAAAAACAAATATCAGTCTTTTAATATTAATTTATAAATATAAAAGTATTTGTATGTTTGTTGTTAAACACAAAGTTACACAGTGGACTAACTGTGTTTGTGCCTACCGTGAGTATCGAAACCCGATTTTTTGCGGCGTGTGCCCAAAGACTTACCGCTGACCTACTGGTGGGGAGGGGGTCTATAAAAGTAACAGTCTTCAAACCTATAATATATATATACAAGTTACTGTTCACTCACATAACTGACAAAATACTGCATTATTTTAACTGTTCAGTTACTGTCTTGCCTAACTTGATTTTACTGTCCTACATACAGACTTTGTTTTCTATTTTATAAACATTCATATGACACAGTATAAATTACAAATGAGTAAATTTTCTACATTTCCTTACAGCGCTCCTCGTGGCACTGTATTGAGATAATTCTGTACTTGTATGTCTATTTCATGGGTTATATGTACGTCATACTTTCTTGTGTCGCCCCCTACTAGAAATTAACTTGAATTTTCTTGTAATCTCAGTCCCACTTACATTAGGGATCTATATCGGAAACTCCGATGAAAGAGATAAACACAGCGAAGTTTGATTTATAGACTTCTCTAAAGTAGGTTGAGGAAAATAATGAAAATAGCTCATCGAATTTTATTGAAATTTTTTCAATTGAAAACATACGTTTTACAAGTCTTCCTTATGATGAGCAGAAAGGAAGAAAAGGTAATATATCATTCACGGTTGAATAGAGAGACGGAACGAAACGTATTAAATCTGGAAGTGTAAGTGAAGAAAGGAATTTTTATAACAAATTGGTTAAGCAGAAGAAAATAATAAAAGGTGAGAAAATGGGAAAAGATCTGGAATTATTTAAGTCATTTGAAATTGTCACCAAGTGCTCAACTCATTGTCACCAAGTGCTCAATTCATTGTCACCAAGTGCTCAACTCATTGTCACCAAGTGCTCAACTCATTTGTCACCAAGTGCTCCACTCATTGTCACCAAGTGCTCAACTCATTGTCACCAAGTGCTCAACTCATTGTCACCAAGTGCTCAATTCAACATATACATTTTAAATACTAATGTTTTGACAATTTTAATCTGTTCAATTGACAAAGTGCTTTATCAACATAATTTTTATTGTAAATATCATACATACATATAGTATTTTAAATGAGAAATGCCCTGCTTTGATATCTAAGTTAAAAAAAAAGTTTAGAATATTGTTTCGTTATGGCCGATAGTGCCATCTTAAAACTGTTCCATTACATTATTGTGATTGAGATAAAGTTGAACTGAAAATATTACATTTTGTGCAACTGAACCAGCTAGCTGGCAGTAGGGTTTCGTTCATATTGTGTTGTAAAGATTGAACAGTTTGAATTGATAATGTGTATTTAACTCAATACTCAGATCAAAATAAAAATCCGTGGAGAAATTAAGACACAAAGCTAAGTTGAAACACACTAAAACACTGTTAGGTAACAAAAAAGAAGAAAAAACTATTCCAAACTATGTACACCTATACGTTTATGTTAAATACACTATTTTGTAAAAATGAGAAAACATTTTTTTTTGGGCAGGTTCATCGACCATGAATATTTGTCGTTGCTGGTAGATCAAATATCAGTTACATTCTTCTTCTAGCTTACATCTATGCTACAGCAAAGAACAGTTTATAATTGAACCAGGCCTTGAGATTGTTTTAATGTATTTATGTGTGAAACACGATAACTAGTTGTTTGTTCTTGTGTTTCAGCAAAAAAAACTTCACAATGGGCCACCTGAACTTTGTTCGCCACAGGAATCGATCTCTGAATTCCTGCGTTATAAGTCCTCAAGCTTAACATTGAGAGACCTGGGGCTATGTTTAGTGAAAATGGCAGATTAAATGAATACCCGCATAAACTTCAATATGAAGTAGGTAAAGCCGGTAATCAGAATATTGAGAAACAAAACTGACTGGCAAGAACTCAGAAAAACAAACTACATTACGACATGCTAGTATATGAAACTTCGTACAAAGTTTAATTATTTATTCTTTTTTATTATAGATAGTGTTTAACTATTCTTAGACCTCTTCAAGATGGGAATTTTGTATGTATGATATAATAAAATTGTAATTTCAAATACGATCAGCATGTGTCATCAGGAAGTTTACGGACTTATAACACATAAAATCCGTGGTTCGATTCCTCAAGGTGGACAGAGCGCTTACAGCCGATTGTGCAACTTTGCGCTGAAAGAAAAACAACAAGTGTGAGAAGTTATTGTGAAAAAGTATACTTTTAATACTTTAAAAGTAAATTTAAATCCTCGTATATATGGGTATATGTGTATGTAGTATTTTGAACCCAAATTGGGAAGTAAATCATCCTGTTTTATTATCATATTTTCTAATGCATTAATATTCGGTTAGATAATTATATAATGTTAATTATTCAAATGAATAAAGAAAGTGCAAAGCTTTATTCTAGAATTAGAATTATATTTATACAGACAAAACATTCTGTGAGGGAAAAAAAATCAATTTAAAATATATTTCTTTAAAAAACGAAGTTTAAGACAAAGAGCTACAGCTACTTGGTCTCGGGACACCCTCTTCATAATCTACCCTTTTGTTACGAAGCTGTGGTACAACTCCGACATCTGATTCAGTTACTAATTGGAGAGTGGAGTCGCTTCTTTCTGGAAGACAGTGGAAGCCACGCATTTCTTCCACACGGAACTCACTAGCAACACAGTTTTCTCTACAGAATGGCACGGGTTCAGTGGTGAAACATATGTTGCCATGACGTCTGTGATAGACAGTTTTGTTTAGATAACATGATTCAGTAACCGGGTTAGGCCAAGGGAAGATTCCTGGATCTGAGCCTCTTTGAGCCACGTAAGGACTAGATGACGGACAGATGACCGGTTTTGTGGGTGGTGGAAGTTGCTGACAGTACTGACCACCCACTGCATAACTATTGACGAAATCTTGACTGTCTAAATAAAGACATTTCCGTGGGCCTAGGAATTCTTTATAACTCTCCCCGTTGTTGTCCCCACAAGCTCCGCAATGAGTTCCACTGAAGTAAGGAGGCACCTAACGAATAAATTCAATTTAATAAGAAAAAATACAGGACAAAAATAGACAATCTGGACAAAAACATAAGATGTAATGTAACAATTTTAACACGTTCTCAATTTTTTACCAAGTGTCTTTCTCGAAATGAGAGAAAACAGGTTTTCTTCTTACCTTAATTTTAGCATTCTTCCCGTCATGTTCCACAGTTATACCTTCTTTTACGACTTGAATGACGAGGACTGGTAGCTCAGAAGGCGAAGCAGTGAAACGTAGATAAATATACACTGGAGAAACATAAGTGGCCAGTTTCAGTGTTTGACCAATGGTCAAGTGATGTAATGTACCATTGATCGAGACTGTTCTCGATTGTTTTACCACTGGGGGACTAACGTGGATCCAATGGCTCCCCACAGTCATATCCAGGGACTGTTTTATAAAATGAAATATTTTTAGTATCAATATGATAGCTAGACAGTAAACAAGCAGCTAGATAGATAGATAGAGCGTTTTAAAATCCAATGTAAGTTGTTTCATTGGGAGATATCAATATTTGATACTTGAAGTTTGAAAACTACAGCATTAAGTATGATATTACATTAAGAAATAGTTATTTTATCTGGAAAAATGTATTTTCTTCGCGTGATCTTACATGTTTAGAATATAAGACAATTTTTGGAATACTACTTAGAAGCCATTAATAAGATATAAATATAAATCATTGAATATAAAAATATCAAACGTAATAAGATGTAAATATAAATCATTGAATATAAAAATATCAAACGTAATAAGATATAAATATAAATCATTGAATATAAAAATATCAAACGTAATAAGATATAAATATAAATCATTGAATATAAAAATATCAAACGTTATAGCCGATAAGAAATGAACAAATAAAACGTAGAAGATTAGACGAATATTTGTATATGAAGTAAATTGAACCCATAATTTGGAATATAAACTATGCTTGAGAGAAAATCAACAACTTTAGTGTGCTCACAAAGTTCCCATAACATGAAAGGTAAAAACATTGTAGACAAAATATATATATAAGTCTGTACAGTAGCGAATGAATAAACGCTGAAAAAAAGGGATTAAACCTTTGTTTTCGTCGATGGGTCCATTTGGGTGTAGGAAATAGTATAACGATGACTTGAAGAGCAGTCTTTAAAGAGAATATATTGACATTGGGTGTCTGGCAAAAGGTAAGTGACGTCATCAAAGGTCCGGATGTAATCCTCCATTAAAGCACAGTCACCTGACAAAACACACGTGAAGTAGTATCGTACCAGTTTAAATCTACGTTATCAGAAGTATAAATCTGTTCAAAAATGTTTGAGTGAAAAAATAAGCAAAAATTTTACTTTAGTTCAAACAGTAAGTGATATCTCATAAACCCAGTAAAATAAAGCAAATAAAGTAACATTGCATAATTTTATTCAAGTACTGTAAAACTGAATATTCACGCCCAACTTCTCACCTAATTCACTACACTACGTTTTGTTCAATGTAACTTACTGATGGTCTCTAAGTGAATTAAGAACCAAACTGAAACTCGAACCAACTTTATAACATTGCCCACTCGGAATACTATTGCACAGAAACTTTGTAATTAGTTTTAGCCTCCCTGGTCGGACACTCGAGAAGACAAAGCATGAGTCTTCTTTTAGAAGGAGGCTTCGATTTTTTTCCATCTGTTTAGCATAAAAGATTAATTTGAGTCTACAAAAAATGCTCTATCATGCTAAAAGCTTGAACAAGACATAGTGAACTGAGGAACTTATTTCAATCTATTAATACTAATAGGTTGAAATAATCTATTAATAATATCAATAATCTATTAATCTTTACTCTCTATTTTTAGGGCTTGGCAATCCGACTTTAAATATGACGTTTTTACTTTACTTTAAATAGTAATTGTGATTCATGATATTGTCACTGTATTGTATGATAAAATTTTTATTTCATCTTAAATTTTTCAGGTCTCATGTGTCTAGAAAAATTATCTTTAACATTAATAACTGGCCCGGCATGGTCAGGTGGTTAAGGCACTCGACTCGCAATCTGAGGGTCGCGGGCTCAAATCCCCGTCACACCAAACATGCTCGCCCTTTCAGCGGGGGGGGCGTTATGATGAGACGGTCAATCC